TTTTTTACCTGTTAAAGCCTTAAAACATCATGGATTTACATCTCAGCCTAAGGAAATGAACCTCGCTCCTCTCCCAGTAGCACCACATGGATGTATCTGGAACAGCATGGCTGGGGATGGTGCTGGCTGCAGGTCTGACCCTTGCAAACAAACACTGGTAACAACCCAGGTGGATTTCCTCCCTAGTTGTAAGAACCCACCACTAACTCAGCCATTACACAACTCCAACAGCAAGCATAAAGGATGCTGTAGCACAAGGCAAGCACTGAACCTCGGTCAAGCTATTGGGTTGGAGCAACATCGCTATGAAATGAGCTATAAAAACTGTGTAGGAGAATGGAACACACACAAAAGTCATCACAACGGCAGTAAATCCATCAGCTGTTCCCCAGAGCTGGTCAGAGAAGGGAAAGCTCCATCAACTGAGCTGCCATAACAAACCCAACATAAACCAGGAGTTAGTGACCCATTCCCATGGCAGGCAGAGGACTGAGATGCAGCGGGCAGCTACTCGTGCGGTGACCGCTAAACCCCACTTGTTTCCTCAATACACTTTCTGCACGGCGTTATTTCAACGTTTGTTTTATTATGACAATTTACATGTCATATTTATAGGAAAGAAATGACAGTAGAGATTATAACAAAAAAAAACCAAAACAAAATCAACCCATTATGAAAGTAAAGTTACACAACGAGGCCCCCAAGCTAGAAAATGGCTTCAGGCCCAGCTTATACACAAAGAGTTCTGAGCAGACTGTAGTGAGAGACAACGCTGAACGAGTCATTAACAAAAATATTGGCACCAGCCTTAACGTGAGGATGTCTTTTGACTTCATTTACAAGGAATACAGTATTTCAACAGCGGTGGGCTGCGAATCCCAAACCAGGAGCTGTTAATCGACTGCAGTTAAACCCTTTGAGCACTGAGGCCGCCGTGACTTCCGTCTGAAAGCGTTGGAACGCGTCGTGTTCTGCACGTGGTATCCCTGGTGTGGCCAAGGGGGGAAAAGACAGTGAAAGCACCACCCGATTTATGTGCAACAAGAATAACGCTTCCAGTTTGCTCAGTGGATCTCCCCCTCCTCACACACACATACACACATACACACACACACACAGCGTGCGTCCCCTCAGTCCTTTCTCTTTAGGTAGTCATGATTAAAGAGAGACTGTGAAAAACCAAGGTTCCAGGACTCAAGAAACACAAGGGTTAAACTCAACCTAAAGAGTGGCACCTGACACGTTCGCTCCTAAAGGAAACAGAACTGAGGCCAACTGTGAGACTGGTTTAAGCAGCTCCAGGTTCCTTTGCAAACACAGGAATGACACAAAAGCATGTTTCATGTAAGTAGATCTTAAGTTTGAAGAGACCTTTCTGGCAGGTTTGCTCCAATTCTCACAGAAGGGTTAGTAGCAAGTAACCTGTCCCGTGTTACGTGGGGACATTGAACATACCCCGTGTGTCACGTACAGGACCTGTGCTGATGTGAGAGCCGTGGCACGCACCCACAGCGGTGTCACACACCATCTCCTGCCTGCTGTAGGAGGGTCGTGAAACACAGGCAGGAACAAGCAACCACATTGGCATTGCCAACAGACTGTTTTCATGTGAGTTAGGGGGAGGAGTACCACTTTAATAAGTATAGTAGAGGAGTAAGATGCTGTACAAGAGGTTTAGAGCCCATATACCGAGTATGAAGTGGAAAACTGAACAAGGCTTATAGCTTTATGAGCTGATTTCCTTTTCTACCACTACCTTGAGTAGCAGATGAGTTATCATTAAGGACTTTTAACTGCTCTAACTAACAAATGGTGCACTGGTAACTAGGCCTATTGTATGCTTTAGTAGAAGGACTTTATCCCCATTGAATCACTGAAGTTCTGACAGACTAAGCTAAGTTTAGTTGTGTGGGACACAGCAAGAAGAACAAACAAAGCAAACTCTGCAGACTCCAACCATGTCCCCAGAGGCAAACATTGTCATAACACACCGTGGACTGATCCTGGTTTTCTCCACATCCCCATTGCACTGATGGGACATCACCGATTCCCACAAGGAGGGAGACCTTGAGTAGATTTTCCTGTTACTGTGAAGGTCAGGATGAGAAAAAGGAGGGTATCGGGATGATTCTCCTAAACAGAGACCTTCCACTGGACAACACAGTCTATAAAGGGTGAGTCAGAAGTCATTGTTAGGCCTATCCAAGACCTGTCTTGCAAAAGGCATGGGTTTGCATACACATATTTCCATTCCACTTCCCTCCATCCATTCCCCATCTCCTGCTGCTGGTCCAACAGCAGGAGCAAGCTCTGTCTGCACCTGGGGAACCAGTGAGACTGACTATACACAAAGTGCTGCCAAGTGCGCAAGTAAACCAACTGACCGGCCAGAGCAGCTCTGCTCAGCTCTCCTTAGAAACCTCTGGGGTTCTATGGAGCAGCAGCAGATCTATCCACAGACACACGTGCCTTCCTTGAGCACGTGTCCCCTCCAACTGCTCTACTGTCCCCAATCCTGCTCCTCAGCTGGGGTGTGGGGTGCCAGCCCTTACAAAATGATAGTCATAAACCCAAGGTGTAGGACTTGCTTTTCATTGCAGTTCAATCTGGAGCCTTTACACCACATAGTCAATTATAAACCCCTCTTCTCTACTTTAGAGTGTTCTATTCTTTCCCCCAGAAGCTGTACACAATCTTCTAAGTGTCATACACAGCAATATACATCTTTTGCAATATACAAAATAAGTTCAATTACTCTGAAGCACTGGGACAACCAAGTCCCAAGCACATGGGGTTTTTGCTGTTTGGAACTATCTCAGTTACTTACACCTAAAGTAAGAGCTTCGTAAGTGATGTGTTTTCAGCAGTGATTAGTAAGCTTCCATACCCCAACTGCTGCATGTCCAGCTTCAGCTGAGAACTATTCCTGAAGCCAGAATAGGTCTCACACTGGGGTACTCAACTATGAAGCACCAAAAATCAGTCATAGAATTCCTTACATCAGTATATAATGGAAAAAAAATAAGGATAACTTCTGCTGGATTTACTGTTTTCTGCCTTCCAACATTCTAAGTGAGATACGGTCCCTATTGCTTTAGGGAAAGGGAGGAAGAAAAGGCTACTGGGATACGTGGGCTTGGTCCTGCAAATCCTTCACACAACATCCTAAATGCTTCTCTTCCTAAGGCAGGAATGCATCCTAAATGCATTCCTTCCTTTAAGCACTGAAGGAATTGCAGTTGGGCTCCTTCACATGAATTGCTGGAGTTTTCCCCTACTACGTTCAGAAAGTGACTGTTCTGGTTGAAGATATTTGATCTTTTATATATATATAAATATTTATATATAGTTAAGGTTTCCTATACCCAGTGAACTGGGAGCCTATGTCAAATGTACATACACACCTTGGCTGCTCACTGCACATCATATCCATACGACAATAGTGAACAGTAGTCCCTGCACATGTACCAAACCCCATTTTCAAGGCCTGTGCATTGCCCTTTTGAATGAGATGATACAAATCTCTTCAGCAGAGCACGCTGAGGCTGGCATCACTGCCAGCATTTCTTGGAATTCCTGTGTACAGAGTGAATTTAAAAAGCAGATGCCATAAAAAATTCCTTTTCCTAAAAGAAGTGAGTGAAAATAATGGCATTTGAAACAATGATTTGAAAGTTGAGACCAGGATTTGCTATTGAAGAGCACTGAAAAACCCAAGTTATAAGCACCTGAAAGCAGAAGTGTTGAATGGACACCCTGACAATGAACTATCCAAGCTGTTAAACAGCAGCTGGATACTGATGTAGCCCAAATGACCAAGGTGAAGACAAAGCAGAGCACTTCTGCCATATGGTTTATGCTTTTGTGAACACGGTGTTTTCCCCTTGAGGTTCTGTGAGTATGGTCTCTAACCAAGGGTTTAGACACAGCCATCAGAAACAGGAATGAACAGGAAACAAGCCCAGCTCAGCCATTACCCCCGGTGTAGGAAGAGGAACTGAGACACGTTAATGCACACTTCATAAGCAAGCAGTTGAGGGGAAAAGCATCTCAGATGCTGTCAGAACAGAGCAAACCCTTCCATTAAAGAATAAACCCCAGGAAGATGCAGTCATTTCACAACACAATTCAAGCCGTACAAAGTCCAACTGGCAACGAGTTAATTGTTCAGCACTGATCTTCCTATAGGATTCCAACACTACGGGGGGTTTTGGTAGTTCAGTGTCATCACTCTCCATGTTTAAACCAAGAAGATGCTCAGGTTTAGAAGAGTCAATAACTAGAAGGCAACTGTGGTGAAACCAAGTTCCTTGTTCTACCACCCTCTGGTTACACGAACACACCACGTTCATTACTGTTGCTCACAGTCACACGAGCTGCACATGAACGGCCATCGTTTATCTTGGTGACACAAAAAAGTCCATTTCTCCACTCAATGTACAGGTTCTTCCCCTCACCAGTGCTACTTAACCTGCACAGAGACATCAATTCCCTTTCTCCCCCCTTGGTTACACTACAAAGAGTTTGTAGTTAAAGCTTTTAGTAGACAACCTGTGTGGAATAAATGCTTTGTGCATTCAGCTGATAGCTGTTGTACTTTTAAATCCATTATGGTAAAGTAATCCCTAATTCTCTTACGGGTTTTGAGCCTTCTGTTGGGCCAAAGCCACCTGAAGATCATTACTCAAAGCATTTAACCTCTGATCTCGTAAGTACAGAGAAGAGCACCAGACTGTGGGGACCCCAGGAGGACATTTCCACTCTGGAATCACATACACACACTATCACAGGGTGAACCCTGAAAATGGCATCTTTCCAAACAGGAGAATGTACATTTCCCTTAGAGAGAAATGAAAGAAGACTCTGAAGCTGCCAGGACTTTCTGAAGGGCATTTCCTGCAGTTCCAACTCACCCAACGTTCCCACTGGTATAAGAGGGAACTCTGGATCCCGGAGGGATGAAGCTGTCTCAGGTACCACAGGTGACTTCTTAGAAGAGAGAAAAGCTGGGTTTTGAGAAGTGAAACTTGGACACAACTTGTCATTCCCTGCTTTTAAAACATGACATTCCTGATGTAAGCTTCAATGCTCCAATTCTGCTTCCTGGTCTTTCCCACTTTCACATCAGTCCCTAACTCGGTATCCTCCTGGTTGGTATATTCAGTATCTCAACCCTTTTGTATCTTCCTATGTTCACAATTACTCGCACACCATGTATTTAACATCTGGGATGACTCTAGAGGCAAGAACGTTTGCTACAGCACTGATCAGATCCTAAAAGGCTCCATCAGGCAGCAAAAGAGATTATGGCACTGCCAAAACAAATGAGAATCCATCACTTGCACATGGACCAGTTTCCATGGCAAATATTAGAAATGAACATTGAGAAGCAGAAACTATGTTCTTGCTTGGTTTAAAACGTAAGTGTATTAGAAACGTAGCAGCACTACATTTATGCATCACTTAAGCAAAGAAAACCACTAGAGTAGCTTAAAATGCTACAACAGGCTCTTTAGAACTTCATCCTACGCTTCTGTGGCTTTTCATTACCCTGTTTTAGGAATGAAAGCTTAGTTAACAGCAGTAAGGTGGGAAAAGAGTTAATCTGTAATGGAATCAGGTTCTCATTTAGAGTGATTTCTCATTTAAGGTACAAGCTTGCTTAGCACAGCAGATAGTGAGTTCCATCTGATTCTAGCTCTGCAGCAGGATATGTGCGCTGCTGGAACCCAGATGAGGAAGAGTCAGAGAGTGGTTTGGATAGAAAGAGATGGGGCAACAAAGGCCAGAAGGCAGGCAGTTTGGGGATGTAGGCTTTCTAGAGAGGTATTTAGTAAAGGCCTAATGCCAGTTGAATGCCAAGAGAACAGAAGTGCTTCATGACTGACTAGGAAATACAATATAATGGAAGGGGATGGGGTGGGGAAGGAGAACTCACTCCTCGGTGGCAGCAGCAGTTTTGGTGCATCCATTGCCGGCAATGGACATCAACACCAGTCAAAAATCCCAGTCTCAGAGCAAGAGGATTAACAGATGTGACCTTGTTGGGTTGCAGTGTTTGGCAGATGTCAGCTGTCCGTGTGCTACAGCAAATGCTACAGCCTGCATCTGGAGTCAGAGTAAAGAGAAAGCTGAATGCTACCCAAACCACATCAGCTCTGTATATATGCCCCATGTTGGTTGGGGTTGTCTTATCCTTGAGTAAAAGCACAGATCACTTCATGCCCACTCAAAAGGCGATGGGATGTCTTGGAGCCGAGGGTTTTCTCTCACAAACACTGCCTTCTTGAAACCAGCTGGGTCACAGGACAATTATTAACATGGATTAAGGAAACCCTAGTGGCCAAAGGCCAACGCTACATTCAAAACCCGCTAATAACATCCAGGCAGAGAAGTAAAAGCGAAACAAAAACCACACACAAACCCCAAACAGAAAACCTCCCAAAGGAAAACTGTTCCATTTGTTTACTTCAATTTGAAGTAGATATTAAGGACATGAATGGACCAGTGGTGGTTTAGTTGTAAATCCCTCAATCCTCTGATGCACTGTCATTCTGGTGGTCACGGCTGTTTGCACGCACGGATTTTGCTGGGAATACTCCAACACGGTGAAACTCGAGCGGCCAGGCAGCTACAGGCTTCTTTGTGTCTGTACAAGCTTCCAGCACGTCAAGATGCCATCCAGCTTACAGATAGCTTCACCTTGATACATCCTCCCTCTAGACACTGTGCATCGAGGAGCATCGGATGAGACAGCTTTCGAGACTGATGGCAAGAGTGTTTGGGCTGCCAAAAACTTCATTACAGTACACTTTACTGTACAAACACTTTAAAGGATGTTTATTAGGAAAGTCTGCAAGTCATAATGGATAGTAGAGTTCTTGTTTATGGTACCTTCTTGGCCTCTAAGGATTCTGTTTGCCTCCAGTATTCAAAAATCAAAACTGCATCTCCATGAAGGTGATTACTAAAATGAGCTATGGTTGTTAACCTACAACTCACAAAATGCGACAGTACAGACATTTAATCTTTCACTGTCTGTTAAGTTGTCATCTAAGTTGTGAACATTTAAATATAATATATATCTCATATGAAAAAGCTAAAGCACAAGTGCTTCTGCACCCACCCCTTCCCACCCCCCCACCCACCCTCCCCCCCCCTTTGCTTTGAGCCAAACCCACCCCAGCTCCGGTTTGGGCCCTGACCGATTTGGAATGCTTTCTTAGGCCACCCATTTCCACAAATTTGTATGCACTCAAGGAAATATAAAGTCAAAAATATACAAATCTCTTGTTGTTATAAGGTTTTTGTGAGTGAAATTACCCAGGACCATGGACTTGGAAGGAGAAAGGGGAGGAAGGGGTAAAGAGAGAGGGACTTTACAGCAATTCATCTTCAGAGTTCAAAACTGGTCACTTCACAGAAAGACTGCAGGACTGGTGAAATTCTTGCTTCTAAAAAGTGATACTGTAGTGGCGAGTTTTCTAGGAAAAATAAAAGAGCTTTTAAGAACTGGCCCGCTGGTATGAGCTACCGTGGAATAAATTAGCACAAAAAATGGAAGTCTTATAACTGTTCACTGTTACAGACGTAATCAACAAGGTCAGTCACTCGCAAGAGTTCATCTTCATCTTCCTCCGGCCCTACCGCCTCCTGCCCGCTCCCCGTGCCGTTGGGCGCCAGGCTGGCGCTGGCTGTGCTGTCCTTGGGGGCTTGGGTCTTCTCAGCTGGCTTCCCAATCAAGTTCTCAATGGTTTTCCCTGGGCTCTGTCCGTTGGTGGAAGGCAAATCCACCAGGCTGTAGTCCAAAGGGCTCTCTACTTTCCCTACGTTATCAAAGTCATCTTCGTCGTCGCTCTCTATCCGGTAGCAGTGCTTCTTGCTGTTGTCTTGAGGAGCCTGTGCTGCTGGCAGCTTGTTCGCAGGAGCAGGTTTCTCGGTGTCATCGTTGGTGTTTTCAAGGGTGTCTTCCTCGTCCGTTTCGATCCGGTTGAGCCGTTTGCGGACAGGCCGCCCCTCGTCCTCCTCCTCCTCCTCCCCTTCCTCCTCACTGTAGTCGTCTGTACTTCGCCGGCGCTTCCGGATCAATCGCTTGGACTCCTTTGTGGATTCGTCATCTTCAGAGTTCTTCGATGTGTAGCTCTCTGGAAGAAGCAGCAGACTTAAAGCCATTAGCAAGTGAGTACAGCCAGAACCATCACACTATCTAGTCTTCATCTTTCACATGCATTAAAAAGCCACATCTCGCTCACCACACACATTTCTGTCTCCTTCCCCAACCAACTCAGAACTCTCCAGGCTTTTTACTGTTTAAATAAACTGCTCAGGAAGCAAAGACAACAATCTGTGGGACTGCAGTGACAGGACAAGGGGTAACGAGTTAAAACTTAAACAGGGGAGGTTTAGATTGGATATAAGGAAGAAGTTCTTTACTGTAAGGGTGGTGAGGCACGGGAATGGGTTGCCCAAGGAAGTTGTGAATGCTCCATCCCTGGTGGTGTTCAAGGCCAGGTTGGACAGAGCCTTGGGTGCCATGGTTTAGTGTGAGGTGTCCCTGGCCATGGCAGAGGGGTAGAACTGGATGATCTTAAGGTCCTTCCCAACCCAAACCATTCTATGATTCTGTGATATTCTGTTTCCAATCTAAGGCTTTGGAAGTGGGTGTAATTCCCCCTAAAAGTGTTAACTGCATGCCAGGAATAACAGATCTGCATCCCTGATCTAGTTCCAGGGATGGGGCAGCCACAGCTTCTCTGGGCACCCTGTGCCAGCGCCTCAGCACCCTCACAGGGAAGAGCTTCTGCCTAAGAGCTCATCTCAGTCTCCCCTCTGGCAGGTTAAAGCCATTCCCCTTGGCCTGTCCCTACAGGCCCTTGTCCCAAGCCCCTCTCCAGCTTTCCTGCAGCCCCTTCAGGCACTGGAGCTGCTCTAAGGTCTCCCCTTCAGGAGCCTTCTCTTCTCCAGGCTCACCCAGCCCAGCTCTCTCAGCCTGGCTCCAGAGCAGAGCTGCTCCAGCCCTCGCAGCATCTCCATGGCCTCCTCTGGCCTCGCTCCAACAGCTCCACGTCCCTCTTGTGCTGCTGCCCCAGAGCTGGATCAGGGCTGCAGGGGGGGGTCTCAGAAGATACTGTACAGTTGCATTACCCGCTTGTTTCCCTTCATCTAAGAGCCAACTCTAACACTCTGTAAACTCAGGTCAAAAACTACCTACAAATCAGGTGTTCACCCTGTCAAGCACAGCCGATTCGCTGAGGCTGCCTGGCAGCTATTGCACCCTGTATTGCTCCGTGTCTCTAATAGCCAGATCCGAGGTCTCAGAAGCTGGCACCCAGAATGAAGGGCACCCAACATCAGTGCTTGCTTCTGCAATAGCTGATTTTACATCATAATGCACAGTGGTTACTCATGTGTGACTGACATTACTGAGATGTGCTTCTCCATGCTTCCCAAAGCTCCTTCAAACAGCACATGGAATGAGTCTTAACCATGAGCACACACACACTCAGGGCACCAGAAGTAACACCCTTTCCCTTACAAAAGAGAATCTTTAAAGGCTCACGGGATGAAGCTTTGTGACCTCTTAAGAGAGAAGTGGTGAAACAAGTTATATTAGAGCCAGTTTTGGAATCTCAGCACTCTGTACCAGACTCACTGAACTCAGACCTGGAAGGGACACCGATGCCTATGCTGTGATTGTAACGGTGAACCATAAAGTACCAGTGGACTGAAACATTAAGGAACTCTAGAAGGAAGAGTCTCCAAAAGCTCTGTTTTATGTACAGTTTTCTCTTCATGCTCCTGCTGACCTAGAGCAGCTGCTGCAAAGAGAGGACTGGTCGTTTTACCTTCACTGTCCGAAGTGGAGAGCCGGCGTTTATGGACTCTCCTTAACTCCTTCCCGTATCGGACACTCTTCTGTGAGCCATCACTTTCAGAATCCTCCTTATAATTGACTTGTCTCTTCTGATTCCGTCGTGATCTTCTCCTCCTGGTTTCCAGGTAATCATCGTCGCTGTAATCTGTGTAATCACCGCTCTCTGTGCAGAAGGAAACAGCAACCTGTGTTATTCCATTAAAGCAAAACAACTTAGATGAGCTTTAGACCAGCACCAGTAACTCCATGTGCTCTCCCAGCACAGGCGGCTCATTATTCTGACCCATTCCAGGCTCATGCCTCAGTCTCCCTATTCATCACCAGCACAGAATTGCTGATGATGCCTCATCCCTGGCAGTGTTCAAGGCCAGGCTGGACACAGGGGCTTGGAGCAAGCTGCTCTAGTGGAAGGTGTCCCTGTCCACGGCAGGGGTTGGAACTGGATGAGCTTTAAGGTCCCTTCAACCCAAACCATTCCATGATTCTATGATTTCCAGATCTTCTCACAAAGCCTCTTCCTGCCTCCCTCAAACTCCTCCAGAAGGTGCTTTCCTTCCAGTGTTTTTATTCCTTCATCCCTACTGGAGTCAAAAGATGCCTCCTCTACAGTTCCTGAGAGTTGAAACAACCTTACTGGATTGGAGCTGATGATGCACATTACCCTGGGAAGTCCTTTCTGCTTCTGAAATTTAAATAAATTAGTTATAAAATTGAAAGTAACAACAAGCATCAGTCTCCCTAGAGCATAAGTTTGCTTAAACCAGAAGCTGTACATAGGACACTTACCAGCACCCACAGCTCTTCCTACACCAGTCTACTGCACCTACTGCCTTCAAGCATTAAATAGCCTTGAATCAGCTTTAACTTGAATCAGCTTTTTCACTGTGCCACAACCATTACTGCAGAACACAGGTCTGTAAGTGTCACATACTGCTCCTTAGTGATTGCCAGGAGTCACTGATCGAAGTGGCATCCTCTTTACTTCCTCAAGCATTAGAGGAAGAATCAGAGCAAGCCAACAAGAACCACCTTCAGGAAGAAACTCCATCGCTGGAGACTGGAAACAAAGCCACTCACAGGGAACCTTACTTCCTTAGCTCAAAATAGGCTTAAAGCAGTATCCTGGGGGACCACGAAGGGGGTGAAAGACAGAAACACATTGTTAACTCTTGGATGCATATGGAATGACACTGGAATCAGCTGGGTTTACCACAGCTGTCTGTCCACCAGGAAACAGTACTTGCTGCTGTGTGCTATAGATATAGAAGTTACTTTAGACTTCTGCCAATATCTTCACTGGGAACAGGTTATGATTAGATGCACTCAGGGCAGGGAGACAGCAACTCTTTTAAGTGCATGTAGCTAACTTCATCCCTCCGTGCATGAACCCTCCTTTTGGAAACCAATACTCCAACATATTCATCTCTGTTCTAGAGAGGCAGATACACCACTGGGAAGGTAACACACACTGCAATAAGTTAACACTCCAGTGTACTTAGTACCTTATATTCTCAGTAAGTCAAAGTAAGTGCTTATGTATCTGGTGCTTTCCAGGACTGGGTCTCGAATGAAGCAGAAACAAGGAGGGCAGTCCTCAGAGGAAGATGCAAGTCAGGAAAAGGTTTAAGTATCTCTTAGGTACTATTCTCACACTTCAGACTGCACAAACAGAAAGCAATCTGCTTGAAGGACAAGCAAAATGAAGTGAATAAAGTTCTCCTGCAATGGAAGAGTCTTCAGTTACTAAAGATCAAAAAGGATAATTATGGGAGAGAGATTCAAGGTGTTATCATTGGCTTTCAAGCCAGAACTCGAATGCCATACAAGTGAAGGAATTTTCTTCCATACAAACAGAGGGAAAATGTTTCTTTCAGAAGCTTTTTCAAAGGTGATGGGAAGGTTTTTGTGTAGCTATGAAGCATATTTTGACACCACCATTTCTCTTCCCTGCACTCATGTGCCCAGCTGGAAGGTACGGGGTAGCTGTAACTGTCCACAAAGACACAAGCTTCCATTTTAATACATAACTGCTGAAAAAGCAAGCACCCAGAGCCCAGCTTCCTGCAGAATATTCACAGCCCAACAAGTAGCAAACTGCTTTACAGCGAAGATGACATCTGACTTGACCAAAGCAAGCCAACAGGTTCATGTCAGTCATGCCAGCAAACACAGACTTCCACTCTTCCCCTCTTGAGTACTGCATATGGCAAAGATTTCTTCTACTCACCAGATTCTCTGCTTGAATTCTCCTCGGAATCTTCATCTTCATCATCTTCAGAGTATTTTTTCTTGACTGTTTTCCTTCGTAACCTCCTGCTTTGCCTCATGGGCCTGGAGAGGTGTCGCCTGGAGATGCGGGCACAGAACTCGGAATCGCTGTCTTCGTTTGACGGGGGGTCATCTTCACTCTCATCCAGGTTCTCCTCTGATATAACAAACTCGTCCTGAGATCTGGTCAAAGAAAGACCACAGACAACACAGGTAGATATTGGAAACAGAACTTGGAGTTTACAAGTGATAGATGCAAAATATATCTGTCATTAAAGATCTATCCATGAAATATATCCGTGTATGCAGAATTTCCCATGCAAACATCATGAGGTTCAATAAGACCAAGTGCAGGGTCCTGCCCCTGGGTCAGGGTGAACCCCAGCATAAACACAGGCTGGGGGAGACTGGATGGAGCCTGGAGAAGAGAAGGCTCCTGAAGGGGAGACCTTAGAGCAGCTCCAGTGCCTAAAGGGGCTGCAGGAAAGCTGGAGAGGGGCTTGGGACAAGGGCCTGTAGGGACAGGCCAAGGGGAATGGCTTTAACCTGCCCGAGGGGAGACTGAGCTGAGCTCTTAGGCAGAAGCTCTTCCCTGTGAGGGTGCTGAGGCGCTGGCACAGGGTGCCCAGAGAAGCTGTGGCTGCCCCATCCCTGGCAGTGTTCAAGGCCAGGTTGGACACAGGGGCTTGGAGCAAGCTGCTCTAGTGGAAGGGGTCCCTGCCCGTGGCAGGGGTTGGAACTGGATGAGCTTTAAGGCCCCTTCTAACCCAAACCATTCTATGGTTCTGTGGTATTTGAACACAAAGCTGCTGCTCTCATGTAAAACATGCATCTCAGCCTGATCAACTTCTGACATTCCTGTCATTTCCAAAGTGAGCCAATGCTTTTTTAACCACCATTAGGCACTGCAGTTCACAGTCCCCTGCATTTGGCCACCAGCTGAATGTAAATCCCAACACAGATCCAGCAGACATTCAGCAGAGGAGGGAGCTGACAATGCATGAGCACACTTTACCTGATCAATGCACTATTACTTCTACCCTCATTGACTGGAAATGTCCAGCACATTTAACTCAGCACATTCATGTCCTCAGCACGATCATGGGTGGAAAACAAAGCTCCAGACTGCATCTGTGTTGTATACATTATCCACACACTTAGTAAACTGACACAGTGAAAGGTGTACAGCTTTAAATGTTGATGCTAAAAAGCCCAGGCCTCATGCTCCATTAAGTGCCTTCACTGAGGCATAAAGAATGTCCAAAATTAGTATTAATTTTGTTAATGTCAGGCATTTCCCAGACGGAATGATGAGGAATTTCACATTAAAAGAGTTTCAGTCAGCCAGAGCAATACTCATTTAGTGTTTAAAGCTTCACATGTATTGGTTTCCTATAGTATAAACCGCTCTGCTGGCTGTTTTCAAACTCTTATCTCCTAGAAAGCAGAAATCAGGAATTGAGTTCAGAACCTGCATGTCAAGGTCTGTATGCTCTAAATGGGGACATTTTCCTCTTCTAATTTCAATCAGTCCCAAGAATAATCCCATAAAATTGGGCATATTTCCAAAAGGAAACAGCCAGCCCCATTTTAGCTATGTCTCTGTTAAGGATTTCTGCTGGAGGGTCACATCATAACAAGATTACAAGAGGGACATTGAGGTGCTGGAGCAGGGCCAGAGAAGGGCAACGGAGCTGGTGCAGGGCCTGGAGCCCAAGTGTGATGGGGAAGGGCTGAGGGACCTGGGGGGTTCAGTGTGGAGAAAAGAAGGCTCAGGGGGGACCTGATCACTGCCTACAAGTGCCTGAGAGGAGGATGGAGCCAGGAGGGGCTGGGCTCTGCTCCCAAGGAACAAGGGATGGGACAAGAGGAAACGGCCTCAAGCTGCACCAGGGCAGGTTTAGATGGAGCTGAGGAACAATTCCTGCCCCAGAGGGTGCTCAGGCATTGGAACAGGCTGCCCAGGGCAGGGCTGCAGTCACCGGCCCTGCAAGTGTTCACACCCCGTGGAGATGAGGCCTCAGTGCCATGGGGCAGTGGTGGCCTTGGCAGTGCTGGGGAATGGTTGGACTTGGTCATCTTAAAGTCTTTCCCAACCTAAATAATTCCATGATTCCATCAGAGAACTGGGCCCATCTGCTCCTTCACTAAGATAACCACGTCCAGAACACCACAGCACAGCCTCAAACACACCAGTAACATTTCCAGAACATGTTTTGCTTAAAATACAGATGGGATGATCTCAGTGCATGGATCTGGGGTGCTGCTTTTCCAGCACAGTGACATCCCCTTAGGCCAGGAACACTTCTGCTGGCACTGTGCAGTGCCACTCCAGCACCGGGCTCCTAATCATTGTTTCAGGGGCACTGCAGAGACACAGGAGGCTGTAGCAGTTGTGGTAGGGGTTAAATCAGACCTACCCATCACTGATCTTGAATTCCTCTTCACTCTCCTCCTCATCCAGGTTGCTGTCGCTGTCCAGGTCATTCAGTCGCCGTCGTTTCTTGCGCCGTGCCACAGCAGCCCTTTGGGGTCGCTTGTTTTCTTTCCTTTCCTCCTCTAGGATTGTGGAAATGTCTTTTCCACGGTGACCTGTGATATTGGACATGTCTTTGCCTCTGCCAATGCCTGAATTCAGTGAGAGAAAGGGGGAAAAAGAGCAAGTTTAGGTTTTGTTTAACTTTATAGGTATCTTCCTCCCATGCCTCCAGTTTCAGCTATTCTCTTTAAAGCAGGGTATTTATCATGCAACGCTCTGTCTCGACCACCCTGTGGTCACTTGGACATACTGAGGTCCACATTGAGGGTGTCAGCATTCTGACACTCAACCCAACCCACACTATTACCAATTGCCAGTGCCTTTTGAGTAGGGCAGATGTCAGAAAACACACCTTCATCATAATGCTCAATATCCCTCTTGGGAGATGAAGTGTTTAAGTTGTGGTTTGGCCACAGAGTGGGGTTCTGCAGGGCTGGTTTTACTGTTGAGACTTAGTTGTGTCTATTGTATGGATCTTGTGTTACACACCCTCAGACACCTGATTTACTGACTGCCCATGTGCATCCACCAAGCTTCTGAAAACTGGTGTCTTGGTGGAGACGCCACAAGCCAAGGAACTGAGGGATAACGCTTCATGGGAGCTTTCTCCAGCAAGCTGAGGTGATGCAGAAGCACAAATCCACCTGCACTGCCACATACTAGTGAAGATCTCCCTTTTGGTCCTCTATGTCACCTTAATAGGCCTCCAAGAACATAATTCCACTCTATTCATGTTTAACTGAGAAGTGCTTATAGAGCTTATCAATATTTAAGATGACTTTGGAGACCTAGGTTTCAGGGGGCCCAACTGCAGACCCCAGTTTTGACAGGGGACAAATGCCAACAGCACAAGCTGCCATCCCAGTCTCTAATCGAAACCCTAGCAAACGAATTATAAGGGTTTTCTTGTCATGCTTATCCATTGCATTCATATATTGAATGTACAAGCTCAATTTAACTAGCAAGACCAAATACATTTTGGCAGCCTGAGATGGCCATTCCCAAGCAAATGATTTCATTTGATTCCAAAAGTACAGCAGTATAATCTGTAAATCATGGAGTTTAAGGGAGAGGATGCTATTTGTGGCTGCTCATAATAAAACAAATCTCAACCATTATCACCACTGCAATGAAAACCAAACAGCATCAGTAACATACCTCCTCCATCAGCCTCCTTGATATCATCTTCAATGGCTTCATCAATTGCCTCATCAAATTCATCAAACCTAAAAGGAACAGCTTTCATTTACCACTCTGAAGTGAATCCTGATTAAATTATACTATGAAAACATACTTATGTAAAACTGCTCTAAGAAATCACAGTGCACAATGGGCTGGATATAAAATAACAAAGGTAATGGGCTGGTTGATGATCAAATAGCCACTTCTTAAAGGTGTGGGGTCTATTTCTACTTGCTAGCAGCTTATTTACCACTGCCTGGGTGTCTTACTACTGATGTATGTGAACAGAAAACCACTCTCCCTTTGCATGACTCCCCACTGAATTTAACAATATATAACTGCAGTGCTCTATAAGATGCTCTCAGTGGCATTTTTCACACAAAGCATCAGTCATTTATTCCACACCTTTCATCAGAAGACACACAAACACCAATCTGCAAGAGAGACTTTTAGGCACCATTAAAGTCAAAGGAAAATGATTCATGCTGTCTGAATCTTCCTTGAAACCTTATTTCAGAGAGCTCTGAGCTCCTCTTTAAGCTCATGGGCATTTTACTTTATGGATCTGTACCCTCCCAAGCTGAACAGATAAAACATATTGTACACAGTACCACTGAATCACAGAATCCCAGACTGGTTTGGGTTGAAGGGACCTTAAAGCTCATCCAGCTCCAACCCCTGCCACGGGCAGGGACCCCTTCCACTAGAGCAGCTTGCTCCAAGCCCCTGTGTCCAACCTGGCCTTGAACACTGCCAGGGATGGGGCAGCCACAGCTTCTCTGGGCACCCTGTGCCAGCGCCTCAGCACCCTCACAGGGAAGAGCTTCTGCCTTACATCTAACCTGAACTCCCCGTTACAGTTTAAACTTTGTAATTATATACAAATAAGCTGTAATGTTACAGAACTAAAGAGAAGAACCAAAAGCCAAATCTGCTCTAGTGGAAGGTGCCACTGACCATAGCCGGGGGTTGAAACTGGATGAGCTCTGAGGTCCCTTCAACCCAAACCACTCCATGATTCTATTCAATATTTGTGTTTGTCATGCAGCAACGTCTATAAAACCACCTAAATCTCTGCACAATGAGTAACTCATTTAAAGGGAACAGCACTTGGAGGGAAAATGATTCAATGCTTTTATACAGATGATTTCAGTTTGTTTCTCCAGTCAAATCCCACCAAAAAGGACCATCCCCTGTATCACCACATAGATATCTTGACATCCAGCATGCAAAAGTTGACATTTTATGGACTACAGCAGGCAGTGTGTGCTTGCAGCCCAGAAAGCAACCGTATCCTGGGCTGCATCAAAAGGAGCGTGACCAGCAGGTCGAAGGAGGTGATCCTGCCCCTCTGCTCTGCTCTCGTTAGACCTCACCTGCAGCACTGTGTGCAGTTCTGGTGTCCTCAACATAAAAAAAAGGACGTGGAACTGTTGGAACAAGTCCAGAGGAGGCCACGAGGATGATCAGGGGCTGGAGCAGCTCCTGTATGGAGCCAGGCTGAGAAAGTTGCGGCTGTTGAGCCTGGAGAAGAGAAGCTGCGTGGAGACCTCATAGCAGCTTCCAGTGTCTGAAGGGGGCTACAAGGATGCTGGAGAGGGACTCTTCAATAGGGATTGTAGTGATAGGACAAGGGGTGATGGGTTCAAAATGTAACAGGGGAAGTTCAGGTTAGATATAAGGAAGAAGTTCTTTACTGTGAGGGTGCTGAGGCACTGGAATGGGTTGCCCAGAGAAGTTGTGAATGCTCCATCCCTGGCAGTGTTCAAGGCCAGGTTGGACAGAGCCTTGGGTGAGATGGTTTAGTGTGAGGTGTCCCTGCCCATGGCAGGAGGTTGGAACTGGATGATCTTAAGGTCCTTTCCAACTCTGTTCTATGATTCTGTGTTATTTAGATGCAAGATTTTCTCCTCGTATTTAAAACCCTAATGCTTTAAATACAAACACTGACAACTGGACAAGACTTTCATTAAAGATTCAGTTTCTCAGTCACAAAAGAAAGATTACAGTGATATTTCTCCTCCAGCAGAACAGCAGAAGAACAACTCCAGTATTACTCTGTATTCCAATAACAAGCATAAACCACGTCCTCATTTAAAAGTAATGTGATGGGTTTCTGGTCTCTTTATATATTCCCTAAGAATAATGGCATGTGATGTGCAAGGCAGGTTTACACCCCAAGGCAGTAAGTGGAACTATGCCATCAATAACATTAGTTCCACATCACTCAAACCCCCATTTTCCCTCCACACCACTAAAAACCCAACCTCTTTAAAATGTAAGAAATCACTTGATGCTTTCAGATCACTGCTACCAAACACCCTGAGCTCCAACACGAGCTGACAACAGCTTGCCCATGAGGTGCAATGGACCACTGCTTCTGCTGCTGCCGTCTTCATGCAGCAGATCTTTGCTAACCTGCTCAGAGGACTCGACAGCTCACTCGAGTGATACAAAGGGATTACGTGTCTCGAGAGAACACAGTGCCACACGATACACATCTGTCTGTCAGCAGAGTAAGGCATTTCCCTGCTGAAGGAAAGCATACACGATCGTCAGTGACACCAGTGGGACTTCACTGTGGACATGTAAATGTGAAGTGAATCACTGACAGGTGTAGTATTTTCAGCAGCTCTAAGTTAGGTGTATGATGGAGTCTGTAAGAAATACTCTATCATTCTGTATCAGAAAAACATTGTATGAAACATGACTTGGATTTGGGAAACCAAATCCCGGAGTGCAGCACAGGCTGGGATCTGCCCCGCTGGAGCAGCTCTATGGGAGAGGACCTGGGGGACACAAGCTCCATAGGAGTGAACAGTGAGCAGATGCAGCAAAGGCAACAGAATGCTGGGAAACATCAACAAGGACATCACCAGCAGAGATAAAGATGTCCTTGTCTCACTGTGCTCAGTGCTTGTCAGTTTTCCACCCCTGGAATACTGTGTTCAGTTTTGGTCCTGCTGCACAAAACAGGTGTGGATGGGCTGGAGAGGGGCCAGAGAAGGGCCACAAAGATGATCCAAGGGCTGGGCAGCACTGAGGAAAGGCTGAGGAAGCTGGGACTGTTCAGCTGGAAAAGAGAAGGCTCAGGGAGGCCTGATCCATGTGCCAGGAGTTAAAGGATGGCTACAAAGAAGATGGAGACTCGCTTTTGACAAGGAGTCCCATGGAGAAGACAAGGGGTGATGGGCACGACTTATTGCTGGGGAGATTCCCACTGGACACAAGAGGGAAATTTTCCACACTGAGGACAACCAGCTGCTGGAATCATGTCCCCAGGGAAGTGGTGACTCCCCAGTGCTGGGCACTGTTAAGACTGGGCTGGACAGGGTGCTGGGACACCTAGTCTAGGTCATGCTTTGCCTCGAATGGTTGGAGCAGATGATCCCTGAAGTCCCTTCCAATCTGGGACCTGTTCCAATATCCTGGAATTTTCATTTACTAACTGCATTTTTACTATCACAGTTCCTCTAAACAGGTACAGACCATTTTTAGATGAACTGTCTCATCACTGCACGTTCTGTTTCATGCCACTTTCATGCTGGACAGAGCCTTGGGTGACACGGTCTAGTGTGTGGTTTCCCTGCCCATGGCAGGGGGATGAAACTGGATGATCTTAAGGTCCTTTCCAACCCAAACCAGTCTATGCTTCTATGTCAAAAAGCCCTAATGGGGGGTTGGAAAGAGGAATTTAAGGTTTTTAGACACAAGCATAAGTTTCCCTTTCAACCAAAAGGAGAGATTTGATTCACCTGCTTTAACTTACTGCAGGAACTGCAGCAACACCCAAACCTTCTCCAGTATTCCTGAGCAAAGCACCACATGCATTTCTTTTCCTACCTCATGCCTTTGCTACAGCACCTCAGATGCTTTTGCAACCATTAACCTTAACCAGCATTGAGAGGAAAGAACAAAACTCCCTTTAGTTGGGCCTCTCCTTTAGATGTACCAGCGTGCAGGTGAAGCAGTGCTTATAAAGAAACCAAGTTTGACTTTCTTTGCTCTACAAGGTGCTGACCTGTAGCTTATGCACTTGCGGGTTCGGGTGGATCTCCTTTCAAGCAGCTTTGATTTGGGCTTTTTGGAATCTTTCTTCTTCTCTTCGTGACCTTCGGGTATTTCTGGCTCCTGTTCACATAAGACACAAGGGTCAAAAAGCTTCATCTCCCCCCTCCCTCCACACCCACTGTGCCTGAGCTCATGATAGGGATAATTCCTATGATCCATCAGGGGGAGAAAGTTAGCTTTATTACAGCCAATTGGAGTGGAAAGTCTATGTTTAAACCAAAACACAGTCTCAGTTTGAGCTCTCATGCAAAGAACAGTTTCTGTCACTTCAGACAAAGGCCTCTGGCAAAGACTTCAAGTGAATCACTTTATAATGTGTCTAAGAAGTGAGAAGAAGCTGTTTTCCACGTGAATAAACCCAGATTTCCTCTTCTGTAAATGGAAACCCTATAAAAGCATGTTAATAAACCCCTAAATGTTTATAACCACGAGTTCAATCCACATCTGAGGGAGGCAAACGTTACGCTTCTAATACACATGGCATATTCCCTTGGAATCACAAGCCAGGAACATTTGTTCCCATCCATTCCATGAGAATTAGACCTGGATAATTACACAGCAAACACCAGGGTTAAATAAATGCAATCCCACCTTTATAACCTATAGACCTGCCATGGGCAGGGAGGTGATTCTGTATCCTCCACTGACAGAGGACTCTGCGGGGCACCAGTTGGCTCTAACACACACCACGAAGCTCCCTTGGTTTCTCAGCTAAATTCAATCTAAACCAAAGGGACTACAGTTAGTTCTGACCTCCATAGAGATGGATTTTTCTTCCCAAGATGCTACATCACCTCGTAATGCACCACTGAGGAACGGCTGCCCTGAGAAACTTGGGATATAAACCAATACTCTGACACAGACACAGTAACTTACCTGAGGTGGGATGATGTTCTCAATACTGATCCCCACGTAGACCAACCGCTCTTTCCTTTAGGAGAGGAAAAGGGAAAATGAGCTTACAGACTGTAGATATATCAAATAATGCTGTAATTAGCACTGTTTGAAGCTCATGCTATCTCTAGGCAGAAGCATCCCAAGAGGATGTTCCAACTGAAATCAGTTATTTTAGTTGGAATTATGTGCTAAATCTCCTATGATTACTTTTTCCTGCCTGCATAATGTGGGAGATTCCACAGAGTTCTGACAAACAGTACTTGAAGATTGCAGCCAACACAGAAGTGATCGAAGTGAGGTGTAAAAGGCAATAAAACAACTGAAAGACAGTAATGTTGTGATCAAGATTATGTGGTCAGATCCATAACCACGACCAACTAGACTCTGAGGGTGCTGAGGTGCTGGCACAGGGTGCCCAGAGAAGCTGTGGCTGCCCCATCCCTGGCAGTGTTCAAGGCCAGGTTGGACACAGGGGCTTGGAGCAAGCTGCTCTAGTGGAAGGGGTCCCTGCCCGTGGCAGGGGTTGGAGCTGGATAAGCTTTAAGGTCCCTTCCAACCCAAGCCAGGCTGGGATTCTATAACTTTGGAGGCACTGAAAGATAAAACGGGAACTGAAAATCACACTGATCTGGAAAAATGACAGGATGCAATTCCAAATGGACACGTGCCAGGTTTTAGACCTGGGCAGGAACAATCAATTCCAGAAACACCAGGGAACAAACTTGTCCTGGGAGGGGGGGGTTGGAACTGCATGATCTTTAAGGTCCCTTCCAACCCAAACCCTTACATGAGTCTATGAAATAAGGGCCTATGTAGCAATTCTTTGCCAGAGGAGAAGAGTCTGAACAAAGATCAAGTCAAGCTGCTTTGGAAACAGCTATGATGACAGATGGGACTACAGCAACTGCAGAATCTTGTCAACTTGGCAAAGTTTAACAGAATCTAAAGCAAAAAGACTCAACCCCCACATTAATCTGGATCTTTGTAGCAAAGCTGGGACTTTGGATGGGGCTTGGAGCAAGCTGCTCTAGTGGAAGGGGTCCCTGCCTGTGGCAGGGGTTGGAACTGGATGAGCTGTAAGGTCCCTTCAACCCACAGCAGTCTGGGGTTCTATGACTCTATGACTTAACTTTGCTTACAGCAGGAGCTGTACACTGGGCTGACAATATAACTGACACATGCAGCTGAACCAGTTACCTACAGGTATGAGAAAGCCAAATTCGTGTTCTGGCACCTTAAACAAACTTAAATACAAATGTATTTGCTTGTTTTTCCCAATTATTGGGCCTATTCCCAGCACTGCACCACCACCACCGACTGGGAAGTCAAACCTGGCCTTACCACTTCCCAGCTGTTTCACACAGCTCATTCAGGTATTACCACCCCTCTGCAGAGCACTCGCTGTCAACACAACCACACACCAGTACCTGCGCTCCGCACGCTCCTTCTTCTTTAAGACCACGTCCAGATCTTGTAATTGTTCTTCCAACTTCTCACAGAGTAATTTCTGAGGGATTTAAACACAATATGAGTTTCGTTCATACCAACTGTTTTCATGTTCAGATGGCTCAGTCACTACTTCTATATTCATCTGGAAGAAGGGTGAGTTCTTTGCTACCCTGGAGGCACCTCTTCGATGAGGACAACAAAGACCATCTCCCTAAAGCACTTATGCTCCACCATGAGCTGCTACAGCCATGCATCCTCCCAGTAACTGGCATTTACTGTCAGAAGCAATGTGCCTAAAGCAAGAGGTTTGGAATCAACACTTCTAAATCAGCACCTCATTTTTGTTGGTATTTACAGCTTTGGCACAGAGGATTTCATAGCCATACATAACATGCACACACAGTGGTACCTGTTTGGCCCTTATCTTAATCTTTGGAGAACACAAGAGACTGTGGACAGCACAATAAAAAGTGAAAATACACTTCAGGGTCCTTTTGTTACCAAATATCTTACTACACCACTTTATATATGGGTCCTTGAGTATGAAAGTGACTTTTCATGGACAAACTGTCTTTTGTTCCATGTTAATGCCCTCATCGTACCCTTTCCAAGGATGATCTTCATGCTTTTACAAACCTGTCATTTCTCCTCTTAAAAATCACTAAACACCAACAGAGCAGGGAGATGCTCTAACTACCAGCTGCCATCCCAAACTGGGTAAAGAAAACACTATTATACAGTTAAGATTATCATTACTTAAACTTCTCCTAAATACAACTAAAAATCACTGCTCGGTGGCACCACATCGTGTCACGTCCAGTGTGGCTTTTTACAGGGCTTTTGGCAAGGGATCTTCCTAAAAGCAAGGAAAGGGGTTTGGGAATCAGGCAGATTACTCTGAACATGTGCATCAATGGTTCTCCATCAATTTACCAAGAACAGGAACACACACTCCCTGCCTTACCCCTGCAAGTCTGGCTGGCTTAGATGTCCTTTAAATGAAACCAGACCCATGCACCTATTATCTTTTGGCAGAAGCAATTTCTAACCTTCAAGAACATGTTCATGCTTGTGTGTTACTTGACAAGGACAATTTAGGCTTTGCCAGCAGAGGCAAACTAGGCTGTGAGACTCATTAGAAACAGCAGCTTTCTTTACCCAGCTCCTGAGCATATGTCTCTGAAGAAGGACCGGCACTGAGAAAGAGCTGCTTGCTTTGGCCACTGAGCCAAAGATGGGAGAAGACCAGCGTGGTTGGAAATTCCCATCAGCACCACAGTCACCACGAGCAGAAAATGAAAGGGAAGGGAAAACCACCTCACAGAAGTCAGGTTTAATAATGGGCAAGATGGAAGCTGTGACTGCCCCATCCCTGCCAGTGTTCAAGGCCAGGTTGGACACAGGGGCTTGGAGCAAGCTGCTCCAGTGGAAGGTGTCCCTGCCCGTGACAGGGGTTGGAAACTGGATGAGCTTTAAGGTCCCCTCGAACCCAAACCATTCTGTGATTCTCTAACATCACCATCCCCACCACTCATCACCACCTATGTTTTAACAGAAGACAGATAAAAGCTGAAGAGCAGAAGAGTGAAGCTGAACAGGAACCATACATGCTGGCAGGGTGGGCAGAACCACTCTCCATCAGGGATGATCATCAAGGGAGGGCGAAGGCAGGCTGTGTGGTACCCACTGTCACAGGAGTCACACAACAAAATCTGTGGAAACAAAACGAGCCATGAGCATCTTTTGGCATCCACAACATGTAACGAGCTCCAGAACCACTTCTGCAGCCAACACAGAAGCACTTCATAAATAGCTTGGACTGCACCAAAACCTCCCAGAATCCTGTATCACCTCTCACTGGAGGCTTCCAGGGCCGGGAGTGGGTTTTATGGGGCAGTTTATGTATCACAGTTTTCCATTTTAACACCAGATTTCCTCTGCTTATGTGTTCTCAGGCACTTAGTACTACTGGACTATGTAGATTGTAGCATGGCATGGAATGTGGTAATGCTTTCAAGATCCCAGATGAAGTGGAAAACTCCATCTGGACACGAAGCGGTATGAACTGTTTTCCCTGTGCACTCATATCCACACAAAGGAAACCTGGTTATTCCTCAAGTCAGGATGATTTTATGTCCTCGACAGTAGAGACAAAGTAGGGGCATAAAGAACCAGGCAACTACGGAAGTTCATATTTACCTGGGTATAACTGGAGACATCCCTTTCCATTTAAGCTGGTATAAGCTGTGTGAGTATATACTATTTATGTCTAACTCCTAAAGGTGAAACCTTGTCTCAGCTATGCTAGGATATCTGTCACACCCCTCAGAGTAGGCTTGTTTTGTGGATTTATAGCAGGACATTAGGATTTCCCAGGTGAACAGAGGAATTTGTGATGATGGCTACCACTGATGAATGAGAAACGTGTACCAGGAAGAGTGAAAGCTCACGGTGCTCTTCCTGTATGGGGTTTTGCTGTACCCAGTAGCCAGGGTGACGTGCAGCTCTATCCAGTGAGGATGACTATGGAGCTGTGCCCATGTCAGAAGACACTAGAAAGGACACACTTTTACACTGCTGGGCTTTTTGATGTTGTCTCCCCTGCGTTCACTTGAGAGGCACAAGCTCAAAGCCTCACCCAGGCTAATTCTCAATGGATTAAATTGTGTTACATGTCACAAAAGACAACAATTGAGAGGTGATAATCAGAATAAATCCCTTCTTATTAAAGGCAAACTCATTTACTACCAGGAGTTTACCACCTAAAACCTAGAGAGGATTCTCTCAAGAGCCACGCCAGAGAACGATGCCCCTTCGACACCACCAAATCCAATCCACCACATCCACACATCACCCGACAGCAGCTCGCCCCAGAAGCCTACCAGCTCAGGGTGATTGGGAAGGCCACACTTCTTGCACGGCTCATCGTCATCAGCAGGGGCAGCTTCTTCTTCCTCCTCCTCTTCCTCTTCCTCCTCCTCCTCCGAGTTTTTTTCACTCTCTGAGGCCTCGCTTTCATCGTTGCTTGAGTATTTCCACCGGCCGCGTGTCCTCGTACCCGTCCACCGAACTTTGCTTCTCTACGAGACACAGCAAAGGGAAGCACGAAGGAAGCTCTCACAGATCACATATGATACTTGTGTCTACACCGAACAGATTCATTTCCATCACAATAGCTGAATTTAGCACAGAGCACTGCACAAAGTGTCTTGTCAAAGAGCCTTCAAATGCAACCCGGTAATGCACGGAGAGAAATTCCTATCTCCCTGCAGGAAGAAACTCTCAAGGAGCATCTTCCATAAGAAGACAGGCTGAGAAAGTTGGGGCTGGAGAAGAGAAGCTGTGTGGAGACCTCAGAGCAGCTTCCAGGGTCTGAAGGGGGCTGCAGGGATGTTGGAGAGGGACTCTTCACTAGGGACTGTAGTGATAGGACAAGGGGTGATGGGTTCAAACTGAAACAGGGGAAGTTCAGGTTAGATATAAGGAACAAATTCTTTACATTAAGGATGCTGAGGCGCTGGCACAGGGTGCCCAGAGAAGCTGTGGCTGCCCCATCCCTGGCAGTGTTCAAGGCCAGGTTGGACACAGGGGCTTGGAGCAAGCTGCTCTAGTGGAAGGTGTCCCTGCCCGTGGCAGGGGTGGGAGCTGGATGAGCTTTAAGGTCCCTTCCAACCCAAACCACCCTATGATTCTATGATGCTATGGCTGACTCCACTAACTGGAGTGCAAAGCTACTTTCCTTCTAAAGCTCACAAAAGGAACATAATCCTCAATACTCCTACGTAAGTGCATATTCTTACAGGTAAGCCTCGGGGTGTTCTTTACTGCCGGGTAACAAAACAAGGTATTACCTTGTTAACCTTGGAATTTGATTCCTTCTCTTGTTTCTTTGCATCTTCTTTCCGTTCCGGTTTTTGTGCTGCTGCAGGTTTCTCCTCCTCCTCCTCCTGTCGCTTTTTGTCCGCTTTCTGATCCCGAGTCTCCACAACCTTTGGAGTGGGCTTGGATATCCTTGGAGATCTCCTCAACGTGCGGCCGATGCTGACCTCTTCTGGCGGCGTTTCTGCCTTCCTCTTCCGACTGGAGATCCTGATGGTTAATTTAATCCCTTCTTTCTGCCTTTCAGAAGTGATTTCTTTGTTATCTGTCGTGCAGCTTTCTTCTTCAGACACTAGCTTATATTTAAACTTGCTTTTAGGAACTGGAGCATCCTTTTTACTCTCCGAGGAGTCTTCTAGACTCGAAGCATGGGCATCATCTGATCTATGTGGCTCTGGCTTGGCAGCTTCTGGCTCCTCCTCTTGTTTTTCAGGGCTGGATCTTTCCTCTTTGCTCTGCTCAGGTTGAGGCGTTTTACTTTCAGAGCCCTCCTTTTCCAAACCAGAGCTCTCTAAAGCAGCAGGAGAAGCAGGCGCAGGGGGTGTGGCAGCAGCTTTTGGAGAGGCAGCTCTCTCCTCAGACTCACCTTTCCCTTTCAAAGGCTCTTCATCAGTTAGTGCTGGGTTGGGCAGCTCTGCAGCAGCAGATGCAGGTGGGGACTTCTCTACCTTCTCTAAGCATTCTTTGGGTGGCGAGAGTCTCTCCTGCTTGATGTTTGTGGCTGGTTTCTCTTCACTTGGTTTGGCACAGGCTTCAGGGTTCAAAGGCTCTTCCACTACCACGTCAGTGGCTGTGCTGTCAGGGGGCTCCTTCTCCGCAGGACTCGATTCCTCCTTTAAAGGCACTTTCTGATTAGAAGCCTCGGAGCCCGCAGCCCCGATCTCCTTCGGCACAGCCACTGCGTTCTTCTCCACCTCACCCGTTTTGATGATTCTACTAACAGAATTCAGGGACTCTGACCCCTTTTCCCCACTCTTCCCATTTTTCTCCTTCAAGGAGCTGCTCTCTTCCTTTGCACCAGCAGAGTGCTCCGGCTTGTTATTCTGTATGACGCTTGGGGTTAGCTTTTCGCAGCTCACCTCTCCATTCACCAGCACTTTCCCATCAGGACATAAAGCAGTGATTGTAGGGACTCTCTTAAAAGCTTCTTCTTCAGGTTTCCCTTCTTCCTTCAAGACATCCTTTGTTGGAGTCACACACTTACACAGAGGCCCCTTGATTGGACTGTCATAGTCATCCGTCAGCTTGATCTCTCGCTTCTTAAGCGGTATTTTGGCCTGCTGGTCATTTTTCAGCTTCTCACTTTCTTCCACTGACTTCTCCACTATTTCTTGGGGAGTTTTGACATTAACACAAAATTCTAACCTCTCAGGCTCGTGCACTGCCATTTTATCCGTGCAGCTTTTGACTTCTTTTAAGTCTTTTGACTCTATTTTGTTCTCCTTCACCTCGGCTTTAACGGGCTTGACGTTTTCTTTGAAGGAGTCACTTTCCTCTTTGACAGTTTGCTTTTCTTCAGCGTATTCTGAAGCCTTCTCTAATTTTACTATTACTGGCAACTTGATGATTTCTTTTTCTTCCACTTTCTCCATTTTCAGGGTGTTTTCATCTTCTTTGAGCGCAGGAAGAGGGAGTGTTTCTGATTCCATCACCTGTTCCTCTACCTCTTCTTTCTCTTCTTTGATTTTCACTTGATTTTCTGTTGACAGAGAAAAACAACTATGAATCACCCACAGGACCTACAGGGTCACAAAGAGCACCCATCAAAACCAAGGCAGATATAAAACACCCAACAATAGACACACCCCCCCCCCCCAATGAATCTTCTCTCATTGAATACCCAGGGGTCTGCCTGGTCTAACACTGTCATTAAATGAATGGGATGTGAATTTTTAGCTATAGAATCACAGTTCAGCTTAATTATACACCAAAATAAACCGAAATTGCAGAAGCTAGCAGCAGAATTCTGCATTTAACCTTCTTTAAACAGCCATCCCAGTCCTTTCAACACTCGCGCAATGGTTTCAGAGGGTACACAAAAGGGACACGTGGAGCATCAGCTTGAATTCATTCACAAACTAGAACGTGGTGGAGGAATCCATGGTCTTCAAGTGAAATTCCACATGGAAATCAGCCCCGAGCCGTTCAGAGAAAAGAGAAGACATTCAACTGTCCGAGGTGAGCTCTTAGGCAGAAGCTCTTCCCTGTGAGGGTGCTGAGGCGCTGGCACAGGGTGCCCAGAGAAGCTGTGGCTGCCCCATCCCTGGCAGTGCTCAAGGCCAGGTTGGACACAGGGGCTTGGAGCAAGCTGCTCTAGTGGAAGGGGTCCCTGCCCGTGGCATTGGGCTGGAACTGCATGAGCTTTAGGTCCTTTCCTACCCAAACCAGTCTGGATTCTATGTGTAGGGAGGAAGAATAGAGCTGGTAACATTTTCAAATACAAAGCATGCATTCATGTAAGTCTCAGCAGCCAGCACAGCAGTGGAAGATGAAACCCGGAGCAGAAACAGTCCGAAGGCTCAAAGCTGGTCTTTTCCCTTTCAGAGGAGTGCTTCCCGCTCTGATCCCTTGTAACAGAAAAACTGCCTCTTTAAAGCCATTTGTCCGTAATGGTGAGAATTGAGGTCATTTTTCTGTGTCCAACTTCTTCCACCCTCTTTTCATGTACTTCTTCCTCAACTCTGTTCAACCATTTCTTCCCTTCACCTCAGGCTTTCTCCCAAACTTCATCAAGGAGCACCAGAATCCCAAATCTCCTCTACACCAAAACTCAACAGCTGTAGTTGTCCGCAGTTAAACAGCCACAGGCTATAGTTTAACTCCCCAAACTGTTCATAAAGCGTTTCAGACACACAAACTGACTTAGCTGGTGCACAAGGCCTCTCAGCACCACTTGAGTCGATTCCTCAGGCTGGTAAAGCAGATGCAAGCATTGGGTCAGTTGATCTTCCTGCTTTAACACTATGGAGTCTTGGGTAACATGGTTTAGTGCGAGGTGTTCCTGTCCATGGCAGAGGGTTGGAACTGGATGACCTTAAGGTCCTTTCCAACCCAAACCATTCTGATTCTATGATTTAGGAAGTGGAAAGATCAAACGGGTATCAGGACTTCCAGTAGGTTTCCACTGTACCATGGAAGAGCTTTGTGTGAGGTGTTTGGACTACTAGGAAGAAACACTAAAGCTTCTCAACTGAGAGGCTCTGAGCAGTGCTTTGTGACTGTGCATGTATCCATCACTTCATCATTCATTCCATACACGGGACCAGTGCCCAGGAGTGATTCTGCATCAACATGATGTGAGACACAGGCAAGATCAGTACTTGGAATTCATTCTGCAGTGTTGGTAACCACACAGGTTGTGTTGTCACTTAAATGCAGAGTAACACACTGGAAAAGCCTTAGACTGGAAAAGAAACCTGCTGGAGCGCATCCCAATTCCCTGCCATTTCTACATTAGTCTTTTAATGCTTCCACAACCACTTCAGTGTTACCTAGATGTTTTATTTCTTCTGCTCTACACTGTTTGTTAGAAAGAATGAGAATAAAATAGCAAGCCTTTCCCTTTGATACCCAGAACCAAGACAGGCTTTGGCTAATTTCATATACCAAATTAACTTAGGTTTAGAAGGAACACATCCTAACACACTGAAATCCTTAATTCTTCTCTCTGATTGTGAAAACATCTTGCATTTTGGTAACACCAGGTTGTAACTGGGGTGGAGTTACTTTGGATAAGCAGCTTTTAGCTTTCCATAACCTGAGAACAGAGCACATCTTGCAAAATTAAGTACTTCAGGTTGACAAATCCTTGCTAAAAGCAACGCACACAGCAACAAATTAGGCCCATTAATATATATGTGCAATGACATTATAATAAAGAAGGAATAAAGGTTCTTTGCTAATAACAGCAATGCAGGGGCGAAAGCCAAGGACCACTTCACTTCTAAAACATTTGAGTATTTTAAATCATTACAATTAAACTCATGTTGAGTTCTGGAGTCCTCAACATAAGAAGGACATGGAGCTGTTGGAGCAAGTCCAGAGGAGGCCATGAGGATGATCAGGGGCTGGAGCAGCTCCTGTATGAAGACAGGCTGAGGAAGTTGGGGCTGTTGAGCCTGGAGAAGAGAAGCTGCGTGGAGACCTCAGAGCAGCTTCCAGTGTCTGAAGTGGGCCTATAGGGATGCTGGGGAGGGACTCCTCAATAGGGACTGTAGTGATAGGACAAGGGGTAACGGGTTCAAACTGAAACAGGGGAAGTTTAGATTGGATATAAGAAGTTCTTTACTGTGAGGGTGGTGAGGCACTGGAATGGGTTGCCCAGGGAAGCTGTGGACGCCCCATCCCTGGCAGTGTTCAAGGCCAGGTTGGACACAGGGGCTTGGAGCAAGCTGCTCTAGTGGAAGGTGTCCCTGCCCGTGGCAGGGGTTGGAACTGGATGATCTTAAGGTCCTTTCCAACCCAAACCGTTCTGTGATTCTATGATTCTTGAAAAATCATGTTGACTGTGAAACACTGGAGGATATAACCTGTATTTTCTTGATTCAAACTCAAAAGGAAAAGGAAGCAGTGCACCCAATGATGTCTTGATTTCAAACATGGCATTGCACAAAGGTATTTTTCTTTTTAAGTTTTAATGTTGCTAGAACATGTAAAGTTTGGCAATAGTTCAATGCCCCCCCAAAAACATACAATGATGAGCACGTACAGCAAAAATAAAATACTCCTCATAAATAAACGCCTGAGCCTAAATATGCACAAAATACCCTGCAGAAATATTTATCATTTCAAAGTACTCAATACTGAAGGGCAACGGAGCTGAAGGGCCTGGAGCACACGTGTGATGGGGAAGGGCTGAGGGACCTGGGGGTTCAGTGTGGAGAAGAGAAGGCTCAGGGGGGACCCGATCACTGCCTACAAGTGCCTGACAGGAGGATGGAGCCAGGAGGGGCTGGGCTCTGCTCCCAAGGAACAAGGGATGGGACAAGAGGAACCGGCCTCAAGCTGCACCAGGGCAGGTTTAGATGGAGCTGAGGAACAATTCCTGCCCCAGAGGGTGCTCAGGCATTGGAACAGGCTGCCCAGGGCAGGGCTGCAGTCACCGGCCCTGCAAGTGTTCACACACCGTGGAGACGAGGCCTCAGTGCCATGGGGCAGTGGTGGCCTTGGCAGTGCTGGGGAATGCTTGGACTGGATGAGCTTAAAGGGCTTTTCCAACCTGGTGATTTACTGGATTTACTTTGAACAGAAACAGGTTCTGTGGGTTGATTTTCTTTAACAAGTCCTGCTCTAACACAGCAACTTTTCAGGAAGTTGAGAACTCTTTACATTGCCATAGCACAACACTGAAAACTTGAGAAAAGAAGGCAGAAAACCTTGTGTAGATGCTTCTGCACCCTTTTTGGTGTCTTCATCTTCTATGCTGGGGCTTTCACGGGATGAATTCTCCTGCTGAGCATTGCTGGGTTTCAACAGGGCAGGATCAATCTGTGCCTTCAGCAGCTCCAGGGTCTCAGCGAGCTCATTGCGGTTCCTAGATGACAGAATTAAACCCCATATTATCTGATAAGCCACTTGCTCAGCCCAAAGGGATTCATAACAAATAAACAAACACCATCTGCTTAATTGAGCCCTGCCCTGAAAACCAAACACACAACCACAGCAAAACGCCTGTCCCACCAGTGGCTGATCCTTCATAGTCAGAAGCCTCCCAGTTTATCCATACCAAAATGAAACTCCTTTGGGGGAAGGACCTTTTCCATCTCAGCTAAAGCCCTCTCAAGTCTGGATGTGAGCTGCTACTATTCTTTTCTGTATTATCCTCTTACCCATCCTCACTGACTGCTTTCCACTTGCTTTTGCCCTCTCAGTGGAGAGGAAGTTGCAGTTTTCTGCTCCAACAGGAACAACCACATCATTCAAGTGACATTTCCAAAAGCAGGGGACTACAGTGGTGGCTGCTGTGAGAAGCTGCCAGGAGCTTCTCCTGTATCCTGCTGCCCTTCCGTATCTCCTTTATACCTTAAGCAGGAACACATTACACATTGGCTGTTACCAACACATACATGTGAAGGCAGAGAATCCCACCGTCAGGAATCCTGCTCCATGAGAAATGGAGTTATTACCACAGATTTCTGAGACAGTCACAAATGGCTGAAAATCCCTATCAAATAAGGAAAACTAAAGGGGAAATAAAAAAGGAATACCTAACAATGCACTTCCAAGTGGATCCATCCTGGTCATCCTGCTCTTCTATGTACATCCTGACGTTATGCTCTTGATCCAGCTGATACCAGTACATGAGGCCATCCTTGTCACGACCGATGGGCTGAAGGCGCATGGCGTCAGCATCCTCCTCATTAATGATATTCTTGAACTTGAGGTTATCATCAAACTGACATTCACAGAGATACTGGGAAAGGGAGAGATGAGGGAGACTGCTCAAATGTCAAAATACAGACAGAAATAAGAAAATTTGGAGCTTCTTTTTAGGTCTCTTTCTATCATATCTGTGAGTTTGAGCTATCAGGGGGGTGTTTTCCAGACCATGCTGGTTTGAAATGAAAGAAGTTTTGGGGTTTGGGTTTATTTTTCCAGCTTAGAAAGTGTATTTGTAACCGTTTTCTTTTTCCTACTCCAAATAATCTCATTCTACAACGAGCCATATCCCCAAACTTGGAAGCAACCCTGAGAGCTTCCTCAGGACTTGGAAGGCCCATCTTTGGCTTTGGAACTCAACAAGCTAATGAACATCTTCAAGTGCACTGCACAGGCACAGAGATGCTGACAGAACAGTGAGTGCAAACCAGCTTCCATACAGAGGGCAAAAAATATGCAGTGTTCAGTTTGGGCCTATTCCACTCGGATGAATCTGATGCCTGGCACAAGAGGAGATCTATATTTAATGTATCTACTTATGGCTCAGTCAAGCTAAATATGCAAGCTGTTGAAGTGAGTGAGAAAGCCAAAGCTCCAAGATATTTAAGTGAGCAAGGCAGAAGTCCTTCAGCACCTCAGCTGATGAATGAGTACCTTCAGAATCCCCAGTTTGCATTCAACGCTCATTTCCAGGTATCCTTTTTTTTCCATCTCCCAAGCCCACGTGCTGTTGAATTCTTGGCATATCTGTCACAAACAAAATCACAACAGTGCCAGGGTTAGTGGAGGAAAGCAACTTTAAGCTTTTGTATTAACAGTACCATGTTTCAGTAACAATTACACATGAGCTCTTCAGACAGCAGGCCAGAAAGCCTCAAAGAAAACAAAAGTGGGGTTGTTTGGCAAGCACTTATGAGTCTCCATGAGAGAATAGATCATTGAGGCTCTGATCATAGCTGCTCATAGCAGCCTTCCAGTATCTGAAGGGGGCCTATAGGGATGCTGGGGAGGGACTCTTCATTAGGGACTGTAGTGATAGGACAAGGGGTAACGGGTTAAAACTGAAACAGGGGAAGTTTAGATTGGATATAAGGAAGAAGTTCTTTACTGTGAGGGTGCTGAGGCACTGGAATGGGTTGCCCAGGGAAGATGTGAATGCTCCATCCCTGGCAGTGTTTAAGGCCAGGCTGGACAGAGCCTTGGGTGCCATGGCTTAGTGTGAGGTGTCCCTTGCCCATGGCAGGGGGTTTGGAACTGGATGATCTTAAGGTCCTTTCCAACCCAAACTATTCTATGATTCTATGATTCTGTGATCACCACCAGGCTCTTTAAAGCTCTGAAATTAGGCAGCACAGCTCTGAACCAGGAAGATATGCTTGTCTTTGCTGTGCCAAAGCTCCTATTCTTTTATTTCTGACTTGTCTATTTAGAAGAGAAACTCTCTTGAGTAGACATTTCTTATTACACGTCTTTATGGCACTCAGTGAGTCTTGGGCCACCTGAGCCCTATCCCTCTACTGCAGATAAATGCCACTGACACTCACTCTGCACTGTGGAATTATGATTCTTTAGAAAATAAACCAGGGTTCAAGCTGCTTGATCAATATTTTAATGTACAGAATCATCAGAGAATCAACTGGGTTGGAAAAGCCCTTTAAGCTCATCCAGTCCAACTTTCACCCCAGCACTGCCAAGGCCACCACTGCCCCATGGCACTGAGGCCTCGTCTCCATGGGGCGTGAACACTTGCAGGGACGGTGACTGCAGCCCTGCCCTGGGCAGCCTGTTCCAATGCCTGAGCACCCTCTGGGGCAGGAATTGTTCCTCAGCTCCATCTAAACCTGCCCTGGTGCAGCTTGAGGCCGTTTCCTCTTGTCCCATCCCTTGTTCCTTGGGAGCAGAGCCCAGCCCCTCCTGGCTCCATCCTCCTCTCAGGCACTTGTAGAGTGAGAAGTGTGGCCAATTTCTGTTTACTTCAAGCAAATAAATTCAATGACACCAATTTAAGGAAAAACCAAACAAAAAAAGTGGCAGGAGAGTACAAGCAGATTGACTCAGCAGAAGCTCCAGCAGTCATGGTGCAGAAGGAATTCCCCTCTCCTCCTAAACAATTCAGACATGAACAGGGAAGAGCTGTTCAGCAGTTGAGGCTATTGGCGAGGCTATTCCAGGGGAAACACCAGTTGGAAGGAGGCAAAAGCTGATCAATCTCCAGTGAAGATTATTCTCAAATGCTTCTATTGAATGACTGTTCAGATTAGCACACGAGCTGCTGCTGCTGCCCTTCAGCCTGCAAGGAAGTAAGGCCCTGCCTGATGGACTCAGTCAAGGCTGTGGTCTCCCAACCACTAAAAGATTATTAAACACAAGATACAGCCACTAAGCTACCTGGAAACCTGTAAATCACACCTGAAAGCACCTTTCTCTGGACACAGCTGCCGAAATAACCCTGAATTTCACCCACCAGTAGAGCTCAGTTGATTCACGTTGTAAAACTCCATGTGGGCTATAACCCCAAGGCTGTGCTACCTACCCTCTGCTAGCCTTAGTACCACCACCTTTTCTTCAGTGACCCATGGGTAAGCCTGCACTCAGATCAGCTCACCCACCTCATAAATCATGCTCTGACTTTAAACTATGGCCTACAGAGAACTGTGAAGAGTGCTCTCAGGTCACAGTGAATCCTGCTGGAGGGCCATGTTTCCTGCACCAAAAGAGCCTTATGTGAGCACTTCTCCGATGCAAAGCCAATGCTGACAGCAAGAAACAATCCCTCCTCACTCACAAAATGGGGTTACTCTGCTTTCTGTCTCATTCTCAGCTGTGTAACATGAGGAACACTGGGAGCTGTATATCAATCCCTTGCTGAGGGCATGTGCCAGTCACTGCTCATTACTCACTCATCAAGTATGAAAGCAATGAGAAGTTTCACATGCAGTGGAAGTGTGTGGCTGTCAAAGCAGAAGCTCAGAGGCATCAGAGCTGCTGAAGCATCTGTTCAACCTGAAAAGACTACGTTTTGACAATTAAACCCCAGATGATTGTGCTTCCTCCTGACAAGCACTGTCACAACCCTGAACTATGGATCTCACTGAGTCAGGCTCTGATGACATGTTAATCTCTGCCTTCAGAGAGGGGACTTCTCACAGTGGTAAAGAGCTGCTGCTTGCATGAGCTTCTGCACACGAAGGAGTGGTCAAAGCCATCCCATCCAGCTAAAGAGAACCTGAAACACCTCTCAGGGTATTTCCAAAGCAGCTACGATGGCATCTGACACTATTGCCATGTTCCTAATGTTCACTGTAAAGAGCAAAACCAGCAAGGCCTGGGTGGGACTACAGGCACCTGAATTTTAACAGCCAGAAAAGACATTGTGCTCAAAACGTGCCAGTTTTGGGGCTGAATGTGCCATGGAGCAGTCCACGTAAACCTCATCTGTATAAAACTGCAGGATATGCTTGACAAAGGCCAAGTCACAGAATCCCAGACTGGTTTGTGTTGGAAGGGACCTTAAAGCTCACCCAGTTCCAACCCCTGCCACGGGCAGGGACCCCTTCCACTAGAGCAGCTTGCTCCAAGCCCCTGTGTCCAACCTGGCCTTGAACACTGCCACGGATGGGGCAGCCACAGCTTCTCTGGGCACCCTGTGCCAGCGCCTCAGCACCCTCACAGGGAAGAGCTTCTGCCTAAGAGCTCAGCTCAGTCTCCCCTGTTCTGGCAGGTTAAAGCCATTCCCCTTGGCCTGTCCCTACAGGCCCTTGTCCCAAGCCCCTCTCCAGCTTTCCTGCAGCCCCTTCAGGCACTGGAGCTGCTCTAAGGTCTCCCCTTCAGGAGCCTTCTCTTCTCCAGGCTGACCCAGCCCAGCTCTCTCAGCCTGGCTCCAGAGCAGAGCTGCTCCAGCCCTCTGTAAGGCCTTTTGCCAGGAGACAGCACAACCTGAATTAGCTCAACTGCTCATTTCCCAAAGAAGAGCTCAACTGAACAGTTCCTCTTCACTGTTCACATGTTTAGGAGAAGCCACTTCTCTACCTCAGCCCCACAGAGAATCAGAGAATCATAGAACAGTTAGGGTTGGAAAGGACCTTAAGATCAAGTTCCAACCCCCCTGCCATGGGCAGGGACACCTCACACTAAACCATATCACCCAAGTCTTCGTCCAACCTAGTCTTGAAAAGATATGCCCATACACACTCCTTGCACAGAGGAGAAGAGCTATTTTCTTCCAAGCTGCTTGATAAGCATTTTATATTATTGTAAGTACAGCTTATTTAGATCCTAGAGCCATCTTCTTCCAAACAAGACTTGTGAGGATGCTGGTGAGCCAAGCTGGGTGGTTCACCATCAAAAGACTCAGCTGCAGTGTTCCCTTCCTACCCTAACATGCAGTCATCAGTCAAAATACCAGCCACAGCTTAGAAACATTGTTTTTATCATGCTCTTCGCAAGCATGGCAGTCAAATGAAGCACATCTATAAAGAGCTGGTATATAAACCCATATTAATACTATTTATGTGCATAAATATGAAGAGCATGTAAATTTGAATGCTCTGCATTTAAAGTTTCCACCTTAAGACACAAAACCAGTCACACAGAGAATGTATCAACCCCGGTTTTATCAAAGCAACACATTAGTGGGTTTTAGCAAAGGAAAAGCAGGTCAACATTAGAGTATGTCAATAATACAGTGAGCAACCTGCAGGCATCTAGGAAAGTGCTCCCAATGGTTCCAAAATGGGTCCCAACGGATCGGTTTTTGTGGCTTTTCCCAATACTCCATTGGTTTTCTAATTTAGTTATATCCCTTTGAAATGAGGACAACATTAGCAAACCTCTCTAGCTACATTCAAATTCCTTTGTTCTTCAATGTTTCTTTGAACCACTGCCTAGACTAAGCTTCAAGTTAGCTCTGGAGACTGTTAAATGAAGTGGAATTTCTTACTTGGTCTTCACAGGGGAGTTGGGAGGGTTTCCTCACCACTTCCCATCCTTTCAGTGCCTGCTGAAGGAAGATTTTCGCTTGTAACCTTGGTTTATCCCTCTGCTTTCTGCTCACCACACAAGCGCTAAGTTGCTTCAGCAGACGACATACGTCAGACTCTGTTTTTCTCAGCTTGCTGCAATGGCTTTTTAGTGTATTAAGGAATTCAACACAATTCAGTAACTGCAGTAACATGTGAAGTACACACAAGTTACATAAATTATTACATTATTCTTCTAAAACATCATTATGAATGCTTTACAACTGGTTAAGAGGTTACATTTAACCCCAGGCCCTTCAGAAGGTTAATTCCTGACATAATCCCAGTCCTAAAAGCATCACCATCTTAACACTGCATGAGCCTCAAGATGAATCCCTGGCTCTGTAAAACTTAGAGACAGCACTTAAGGGACCAAAAGGCACCTGGATTTGCCACTTACCATTATCTGTGTCATCGGTCTTACCATAATGCTGTGTTTCTAAGTAAGACACAATCATGGCTGCACAGACAATACTAAGACTATGTTTTTGCGGATTAAAAGACATATAGAACATACCCAAGGGGGAAATGGTAACCCGTTAATTTTGAGTATCTATTTCTATTTTCTGAAGCACTGTAAACACTTTAAACTGAAAACTATGCATGTAAAGTGCCATCAGTGGCAGAGCCACAATTAAACTCCCAATACAAAACAAGGGGATGCTGGATTTATAGATACATAACTACATTTTCATCCTTTTGAGTGCACAGATATCAATCACCACAATACTTTCATTTATTATTAACACATGCTGCAAAACCTGTGTGGTGAGTTCCTGGGTAAATACCAACCAAATCACAGTACTAAAATCATAGCCAGATGACTGATAGACAAGTGAATTGTTACTGTGTAAATCTCTGCTAGACTTAGTTTGCAGACTACAAAACCTCCTTATTTAGGGTCTTAATGCTCAAAGAAGTATTTTACTACCAGGTATGAAGGTGTCCACTCTTGCACATGCAGAAATACTGTCTGGTTACTCAAAGTTAAGCTGGGATCTTCCACAACTAACACCTGGGCTTGCACAGTGTTGACCACGACACAGCCCAAGGCTCATTCATAGGTCATCCCAACCACACTCCAGCATTGCAGTATCATCCAACGTGCATATTGTACCTTGATCAAATATTTTTCCCATCTGTCTGCTGTGACAGACTTGCCAATCTTTCTCATCAGTTTCAAGTGAAGCTCCACCAATTCTTTTGGAACTGCAGCATTGAGAGAAAGAGAGAGAAAAAACAAAGACGTTATGAAGGCTGGTGCAAATACACTTCAACGCTAAACACCAATAACACCAAAACACTGTGACAGAGACATTCTGATCGAACAGAGTGACTTGAGCTCTGCTGAAAAGCATCCCCACAACTGAGGGATGGGGGAAGGTTAATTTAATCCCATTGGATTTGCACTTCCGATGATCATCGTCCTTCCTTATATCAAGGAAATAAGTATGAATGATAAAGATGTACAAGTTGTGGCAGAATTCAACCAACTGGACAAGAACTATACCAGTGAAGCCACCTACAAAAGTACTACCACAAGCAACACGCTTGCAGCTGCCCCCATAAACCCAAAGCCGTCTTCTGCCCCACAACCAAGACATAACTGAATCCAACCTCTGCTTGAAACACTCCAGAAGCTTTATCCTAAATACTTACTCTGTAAGTACTGCAGGGACAGATTAAGGCCTGGAGATATGGGGTTGAGGGATGGAGGAAAGAGCTGCTGCAGAGTACGACTGCATCAGCACCATCACAGAATCAACGTTTCCCACCCAAATTGTACCTCCCTCTGTGTACGCTCCTCAGATACAGCTTCACCGTCTCCTCGCAGCTCACATCTGTGATTTATGAATCAATCTGGCACCACCAAGTGGCAAACTCGCAGAACATCAATTCTAGAAGCTAGTGAGCAGCATGACCTTTGAAAAACACAAACCCAGTTATTACTAATGCAACTCTATGTGCCCACTGCCAGGAGCATCCTCATTTGTCATTTGTTGAGGAGACGCTTGAAGAAATGAACTTTTCAAGTATCTTTCTCTGCTCTTTGCATGTATCTTTATTTTCTCAAAGCATTTCCATCCCTCTGTGCAAACACACTTTCAAAGCTGTAAAGCCAAGGGCTTTTATGATCAGAATTTATGACCATATAACCTACGATGGCTTTTCTGATGGCCCATGAGCGTTTCTTGACACAGAATAAAGAGCTGGGACCCTAAATGTTACCGAGATGCCATTTCTTCTACTGTTCTATTCAATATTTGAGTATCTGTGTGAATCTGTTCAATATTTAACTTAAATTCACCTTCGTGTTTCCATCATTGAATCCCAGACTGGTTTGAGTTGAAGGGACCTTAAAGCTCACCCAGTTCCAACCTCTGCCATGGGCAGGGACACCTTCCACTAGAGCAGCTTGCTCCAAGCCCCTGTGTCCAACTTGGCTTTGAACACTGCCTAACACTGAACCTGCATAACTTTAACTTACTTTTGTTCAGGATGTAGAGAGAATTCTTGACAAGAGCTCACTGAAGTGGGACAAAAGAAGAATCATTACAACACTTCCAATCCAACTTGTAACACACCAAAGGTAACAAATGGGAGGTATAACTGCTTTGGGGTTGAGTTGTTTAAATCAAACAGACTACATCTCCTTTGTGAAATGTCATCCTTGTTCCAGTGGGACCTGCATCACTCACTTCAGGAACTGTTGTAAGAACTTCATCACATTGTGCCTTCTTTTAGATCTCACATAAGGGAAGGAACAACACATGGACCCTTTCTTGCCCAAGAGCCATTCTGCAAAGGTTGTGGTCAAAACAGTGTCATGGAAAGCACATAAACCCCTCTAAATCCGAGTGATAGTCTCAAACCGATATGAACCCTTCATCTCTGGGTTGTAACACAGCAGCTCTCTAAAACCTTGAGAGAATACACTTAAGTGGTGCAGAAAACACCAGGACATTGTGCTAAGGGATAATAACACATACAAACATTACTTGCAAAGAAAAGCTGTTTCAAAGGATCAGATATAACCACACCATGGTGCCATCTGTGAGATACCCAAAGACAGCCTTTCCGAGGAAGAGGCATGAGTCAGATGGGATGAGTCACTGTAGGTACCATGATAAGGCTTCTGGTGGAGTTCAGCCAGCTGGAGTCCTGCATTTTCCTGAAGGGCAGCTCTTACGTAGCTTCATCCAACACCCTTTGAGTACTATTCCAGGTACTGCAGCATTCCAGGGAATGTCCCATGCAGCAGCCCCACTTCTCAGAAATTTGGGAATGGCTGAAAATTGAAATGAAGTGTGAACACATGGAAATCCCAACATCTGCTTAGAAAAGCTGTAACTTGAACACCTGCACAACCACAGATTAGAGACCTGATTGTGGGCACCATCCACAGAACCATGACCCTGTTTCACCTCTATTTATCTGCCCTGCCAAAATGAACAGTTTCACAGCTGAACACTAAAACAGGACTGAAGTGAAGGAGCACAAAACCAGAACATGCAGGTGACAAAGAGCCCTGGGGCTGGAGGAAGGACTGGGGGAACTTGGTATTTGGAAAGTGATTATGAATGAAAACCTACATATCAGAGAAGAGCTGGAGTGCTGGATACAGAGGGGAAGAGCAAAGAATCAGAGAGTGGTTTGGGTTGGAAGGGATCTTAAAGCTCATCCAGTTCCAACCCCTGCCACGGGCAGGGACCCCTTCCACTAGAGCAGCTTGCTCCAAGCCCCTGTGTCCAACCTGGCCTTGAACACTGCCAGGGATGGGGCAGCCACAGCTTCTCTGGGCACCCTGTGCCAGCGCCTCAGCACCCTCACAGGAAGAGCTTCTGCCTAAGAGCTCAGCTCAGTCTCCCCTCGGGCAGGTTAAAGCCATTCCCCTTGGCCTGGCCCTACAGGCCCTTGGCCCAAGCCCCTCTCCAGCTTTCCTGCAGCCCCTTCAGGCACTGGAGCTGCTCTCAGGTCTCCCCTTCAGGAGCCTTCTCTTCTCCAGGCTGCCCCAGCCCAGCTCTCTCAGCCTGGCTCCAGAGCAGAGCTGCTCCAGCCCTCGCAGCATCTCCATGGCCTCCTCTGGCCTCGCTCCAACAGCTCCACGTCCCTCTTGTGCTGCTGCCCCAGAGCTGGATCAGGGCTGCAGGGGGGTCTCCCCTTCACGCAGCAGAGGGGCAGGATCCCCTCCCTGAGCTGCTGCTCACGCTCTGGGGGTGCAGCCCAGCACACGGGGGGGGGGATTCTGGGCTCAAGCGCTCACTGAAGCCGGGTCATGGGGAGCTTCTCCTCAGCCAGCACCCCAAGTCCTTCTCCTCAGGCTGCTCCATCCAGTCTCCCCCAGCCTGGGTTTGTGCTGGGATTGCCCCGACCCAGGGGAGAACCTTGTTGAACTCCATGAGGTTCACACAGTCCCACCTCTTCAGCCTGTCCATCCCTTCTGGATCCCATCCCTTCCCTCCAGCATATGATGGCCTTGGTATAAACTTGGCATGATAAATCAATGGAAGGACAAAACCTCTAAGTAAGAACCGGACAAGAAGTTGCAGTGGCCCTCTGACAACTGTGACAAGGAGCCCCACATTCACACAGGAAGCTTGGCACAGAAAGAACCTGAAGGATTTGACGCCTGTAGCGTTTCCCAGCAAGAAAGAGCAGTAGTTCCTGTTCTAAAGGACAATTTCAAGAGCTTATTTTCTAGCTGAGTCACTTGATGAGTATCATCATCCTCCCAAGTTGTGTGCCCACAAAAAGACACACAGGAAAGGGATAAAAATGTAACGGCTCTGGCTCCCGAGTGAATGAAAAGAGCAATCAAACATGCTGTCATCAAAGCCCAGATCAAAACAGAGAGAACAAGTCACCAAGTAGCACTTTTATATCCTGTTCCTAGAAAGATTTTGGCAGGCATGGAAAAACAAACAAACCACGCTCACATTGCAATGACACCGATATCCCACGGAAGTACTCTGAAATTTGAATGCTCAGCAGCTACATCATTTTCATACCTATATCCAAGTACCTTTACATCACTTAAGTGATTAAATACCTATGAGAAGAGTCCCTGCTTACCTGGACCATCTAGAGCACATGCCACTAATCATTATTCAGCAATCTTAAGACTTGAATCATGCTGATAAACCCATCCCCATGCAGGGATCCCATCACACCACATCTTTCACTGCCACATGTGAATTAGTTGTGTCCAACATGGACAGTGCTCGACTCTGGGACCTAAAAGCCTTTTCCAACCCATGTAGTAAGTTGTGTTGCCAACCTAACAGACCTGGCTACGAGACCTGCAGACTTCACTGCATCGGTCCTTGCTGCAAGCAGGATGTGACCCTAAAACACAGCCCTGATTTTAGCTGAGAGATTATTTTCAAATAGTTACAATTTATCCCCTATTTCTCAAGGTTGTAATGAAGCTCCATTGCTCTGCCACAAGTCACAGAATCCCAGAGTAGTTTGGGTTGGAAGGGACCTTAAAGCTCCTCCAGTTCCAACCCCCGGGCAGGGACCCCTTCCACTAGAGCAGCTTGCTCCAAGCCCCTGTGTCCAACCTGCCCTTGAACACTGCCAGGGATGGGGCAGCCACAGCTTCTCTGGGCACCCTGTGCCAGTGCCTCAGCACCCTCACAGGGAATCACAGAATCCCAAGGGTTGGAAGGGACCTCAAAAGATCATCTAGTCCAACCCTCCTGCAAGAGCAGGGTAACCTAGAGTACATCACACAGGAACTTGTCCAGGCAGGCCTTGAGTATCTCTAATATAGGAGACTCCACAACTCCCCTGGGCAACCTGTTCCAGTGCTCTTGTCACTCTCACAGTAAAGAAAGTTTTCCTGATGTTCACATGGAACCTCCTATGCTCCAGTTTACACCCACTGCCCCTTGTCCTATCACTGGACATCACTGAAAAAAACCCAGCTCCATCATCCTGACACTCACCCTTTACATATCTGTAAACATTGATGAGGTCACCCTTCAATCTCCTCTTCTCCAAGCTAAAGAGTCCCAGCTCCCTCAGCCTCTCCTCATAAGGGAGATGTTCCACTCCCTTAATCATCTTAGTTGCCCTGCGCTGGACTCTTTCAAGCAATTCCCTGTCCTTCTTGAACTGAGGGGCCCAGAACTGGACACAATATTCCAGATGCGGTCTCACCAAGGCAGAGTAGAGGGGGAGGAGAACCTCTCTTGACCTACTAA